GGCGGGAGTTCTCCTTGACCTCGTATGATAGTAGCGTATTTGATCCAGAAGAGTTTTACACTGCTTCAAGAGAGGCGTCACAATTAGACATGTCGCGTCGGCCACCGAAAACATCGGTCGAACAAGAAACCGAGAGACAGCCGACGATATCGACGTTGAGATAATTCAACTTCGGGAGATGATAGCCCCGCCGAGTGCAACAGAACAGCCAGGGACTAGCCGCGATGCGCTGTTAGGTGATTTAATAGCAGCAATACAAGCGTTAAACTATCGTGTCGGCCAGATAGAAGTCGGCGCACGAAATGAGAACCGCAACGAAACGCGATAACACCCGCCGGACAATGACACGCTCGACTTGACGTACGGGCGTACTAGCAAGGATGTACGAAATCAGCGCGGGTTCCCCGAGAGGGGAGGAGACGAATATATGAAGTTGAAAGAAGCACGCGGATCAATTCCAAAAACAGACGGATCGTCACGAAAACAAGTACACGAATTTTTAAACGCGTGTGATTACGCGATGAGGGAAATAAAACCGGCAAAAAAAAACGGTACTAAGAGCGATGTTAGGCACTAAATTAACAGGGAAGGCCATGTATGACTTCCAAACGAGAGACATTCACTCGTATGCTCAACTGAAGCAAGAGATAGAGGCGTGCTATTTGGCAAAAAGAAGCGCGTCGCACTTACAGAATGAATTTTATACGCAAAGGCAGAAGCCTGGCGAGAGCGCGCGCGAATACGAAGCACGCGTGGAAAAGCTATCAGTGGAGTTCTATCAGGCCCTGATTGAGGGCAAGGCGAGAACGATCGAACAGAAAAAGGCGATACAGGAGACTATCCAGGGAATGGCCCTAGAGGTATTTCAGTCCCGAGTTAGGACTTCGTGAGGAAACGCAAACTGTGCGCTCACGAAATTACGCGACTTCAGAGGAAGCGATTCTGGGAGCTACTGCGGAAGAGAAATTAAAAAGACCTCAGAATAAGGCAAATTACTATAATAATAGATACAGAAATAAACAAGGTAAACCGAAAGTAGAACAAAGTGCGAGCTTGCAGTGCCATAAGTGCGGCAAGGCGGGACATATAGGGCAAGAATGCCGGACAAGCAGATACGCAAACCGATTTAATTTGCCGAGAGCAGACAAGACAGCCGGTGTACACACAATAGAAAAATATTGTACTTA